TATGGCGGAATCTGCTGTGCCAGCCGGCCGAGGGTATGATGTCATCAATAAGTGAAAGCAATGTGTGTTACTATGGTATTACAGGTCGAATGTGTTTTGGTAGTACTGTGTGTTTTAATGTGCATATATGTGTTTTAACAGCATATATTAGTTCTGTGAAGCAAAGCAAAACCAATGTTACTCACCTATCGAGAAGAAACAAAGCAACTTCGGCGTCCGATCGCAGGCCTTCCCGCTCCTCCAAACGGAGGAAAATAGCGGAGTAAAAGTACCGATACATCACTTAAAATGTACTCAAGTAAAAGTAAAAGTACACAATTTTTAAACTACTCAAAAAAGTACAATTACTGATAAAAACTACTTAATTACTGTAACGTGAGTATTTGTAATTCGTTACTTCACACCCCTGGCTACAAGTTTGTTTTGGTACTCTGCCCGTTTTTGAAAAAATGCATACCCCACCTTTAATGAAAACCCAGTCCAGAGCATTCAGAACCTCAGACTGGGCAGAAGGTTTACCTTCCAACAGGACAATGGACCTAAAGACAAAGCAAGAGTGGCTTATATACTGTAAAAGTCTGTGAATGTCCTTGAGAGGCCCAGCCACAGCCTGAGCTTGAACCCAATCAAATATTTCTGGAGAAACCTGAAAATGTGCGTCTGCCCCATCCAACCTGACAGAGCTTGAGAGGTGAAGAGGTGAGGTGAAGAATAGCAGATAATTGCCAAATGCTGATGAGCAACGCTTGTTGCATCAAACAAAAAAGACTTGAGGCTGTAAAGGTGCTTCAGCTAAATATTTAGTTAAGAATACGTATGCAATGTACTTATTTCATTTTTTTTATTTTTTATTAATTTACGAAGGTGTGACAATTCTGTATTTGCTTTGTCAGTGTGGTGTATGGAGTGTAGACTGATGTGGAAAAAAACTAATTTAAAGCAGCTTAACATAAGGCAGCAACATAACAAAACGTGAAAAAAAATAATTTCGCAAGGCTATATATATATATATATATATATGAAAAGTCATAGAATTTCATTGGCCAACCGCCGTGGTAACCCTGTTAGACCTTGAGCAAATGGTTATGCGTGTTTTGTCAACTGTTATCCCTGAATCATTTGCTTATCACTTTTGTTACCGTCCATGTTGCTCCACTTTTCATGAGTGGGCTTGCATCATGAATCATCCTCGGCGTGATCTCAAGTGCTGCATTTGTGACTATCTACACTAGTGGTTTAAAATGCAGGTGTTAATGCAACATTGAGTGTTTTTGCACCAAGGAGAGGGTCTGGGTGAGTTTGAGTTCAACAGTTATTCCATCGGTCAACAGTTAATACTTTGGTCTGAATGTACAGAAGCAAATCACTTAAGCTATTGCTTAGATTTCATCTTGCATGATCAGTTTCATTGTGATTGGTTCTTTAGGTCTGAAATCAGAGAGACATAACATATCGACAAACATTCCCTGTGAGGGAGTGAACATGTGACTGGCTGTGCTCGGGTGGGCCATTGAGATCACCAATCAGCTGGATGACTCTCCCCTGCAGCCATTTTCAGGAGAGAAGCTCTTTTTCTGTGGACCAGTGCAGAAGCCTGCAGTAAAACAAGCTTTGACAAAAGACGTCATTGTACCAGGTTCAACATGGCTTTCCACTGCCCATGTTCCCATTCCATGGTTGACCTCTTTTTTTATCTATGTGTCCCTTTTCCTTTGATATTTTTTTGTAATTTTCCTCAATTCATGCATTGTATTTTGCCTCCTTCTCACAGGATGCTTATCAATGTAGCCAACAAGCATGTAACCACAAATGTTTGGACTGCTTGTATTAATATTAACCCTGTCTTTACTGCAAAGAGGAGTTTTGGTTTCTCTTTTACAGTATTTATAACCATATCAAAGTCGTACAGAACTATTGGAGCCAGCAACGTTGGTCTTCCCTTGGATTGGGCTTTATGTAGGAGCTCTGGAATCAATTTAGGTTGGAATGCAAAAGACTGTTAACAGTCTTGAAATTTGCATGCCATTCATAACTTCTCCCTTCATTGCTGTTGGACTGGTGTTTGCGATGTATATCAGTTCATATCTGGAGTTTGATTTCTGAGAAGAGTAAAAGAGCTGCCCACTTCTTTTATCGATTCTCATCGACCTGTTTTCCCTCAAAGGAGAGAAGTGCAAAACACTCTTGACAGGCTGGGCTCATATTTTATAGGAGTGCAGCATGTGGAGACATAAAACAGGGTCCATCTATAATGCATTGTGGAAGTGTACAAGACGTTAGTTCAAATTTGCAGGTATAGGAATGTACAAGGTCTTTAAGAGGAAATAATGTGTGTGTCTAAGGATCAGGCAGGGATCTGGCCATGCATGAAACAAAATTGCTATACTGAATGCTATGCTTTAAGGTAAATGAAAAGTGAAGATTATTACTCTATTACTCCTGTTGGGTGAATTGTTAAAACAAAATGTTTTTGTTTTTTTTTGCAGGATGTCGGAAGCTTTGTCACAGCAAGAGAGACTTCGAGCCATTGCTGTAAGTAAATAATTACACTAATTCTAATTTATTTATATTAAAGTTGCCACAACTAATCAAAATTAATTGATAATAAAAATAATGAATGAATCCAAATTTTTTTAAAGAAATGAATGCTTTTAATTAGCAATGATGCATTATTTAGTAAAGACATTTTTAATGTTACAAAAGATTTCGGTTTCAAATAAGTGCTGTTCTTTTGAAACTCCTATTCATCAAAGATTAATGAAATTCAGTTTTACCATCACAGGAATAAATTACGTTTTAAAATATATTAAAATTGAAAACAGTTATGTTAACTTGTAATCATATTTCACAATATTACTGTTTTATTAACTTTTTCATCAAATAAATGCATAAGAGACTTCTTTCAAAAACATAAAAATATCTCACCAGCCCTAAACATTTAAACAGTAGTGTATACCGAAAATAAAATTTGTATTTATATATGAGTAAGTTGTAACACTTTAGCATAAGGACCAGTTCTCACTATTAACTAGTTGCTTATTAGCATGCCAATTAATAACATATTGGCTGTTTATTAGTGCTTATAAAGCACATATTCTGCATGACCATATTCTACATTCCTAATCTTATCCAATATCTGAATTTAAAGGGGTCATATGATGCTGCTAAAAATAACATTATTTTGTGTATTTGGTGTAGTGAAATGTGTTTATGCGGTTTAAGGTTAAAAAAACACTTTATTTTCCACATACTGTACATTATTGTTTCTCCTCTATGCCCCGCCTTTCTGAAACGCATCGATTTTTACAAAGCTCATCGGTCTGAAAAAGCGAGGTGTGCTGTGATTGGCCAGCTATCCAGTGCATTATGATTGGCCGAATACCTCAAGCGTGAGACGGAAATGTTACGCCCCACACATACTGTTGATGCCGTGTCCGGCCGGAGCAACGAGACAAAAAAAAAATTAAAACCCATTATAAACGAGGCATTCATGGCATCCAGTGGGGACATAATTATGGAATATAATGACTTGTACTGTCTTTTTACGCGTTGCATTGCGCCGCGTAAACATAAAACCATGTCTGCATTTGTAATCGGAGAAATGACAAACAACAAGCCCTACTCTACACTGCCCAAAAAACATGCTTTAAATATATAAAATATAAAAACTCTTTAAATATAAAAAAACGTACTTACAGTCTGTGAGTCAGAACAGCCGGCATTGTAGTCTACTCTACCAGGATCAGGAAACAGTCCTCCATAAAATGCGCTGCACACATCTGAATATTTGGGTTGAAGTGTTCTGGAACAGTGTTGTAAATACAACTGATTTGTAGTCGTGTCCTCTTTTGGAAGACCAAACAAAGTAGTTTCGCTTTCACAACGAAACACACAGCATCACACACGGCGG